TCCAGAAAATGGAATTTCTCTGCTTCGTAAAAACCTAGATTTCGTAGCAAAAGAAAAATTTTGTTATATCTTACACCGAGTTTTAAGGCTAAATTTCAGTAACATTTGTATTCAGAAAAAAGATAAGAGTGAAGCATTTTTTTTTTCTATCTTAAGAAAGATTATAAAGATGGTCGTAATGAAAATTAAACTTAAATTTTTATGTTTCTAACTATCTCAATTCTTCTCCACCCAACCACGACTAATTCTAATAGTCCAAAAAAAAAGTATATAGGCTAAATAATTGTGATTAATAAGATAATTTATTAAAAGAAAAGGCTCAGTTAGATAACATTGTTCTAAAAACGGTTTTGAATATTAGGAAACAAAACAAGAAAATTAAGAGGTTGTTGGTATCAGAAAATGTTTTTTATTTTCATTTTCTAATAATAATTTTTATTTTAAAATTTAAAATTTAAATTATATGTTTAATTTAATTTCTCATTTTCTAATTTTAGAAAATAAAAATACTAAAAATGTGTTTGATTTAACTATTTTCAATTATAAGTTTATAATATATATCCTCAAATTAAAATTGTTGTATTATTTATTTAAATAAATAAATATAAGTATATCCAGCCTTACATTTTAAGTCTCACAAAAAAAATAAATATAAATATAATTGATGTCACTTTTCTTAAAAATAGCAATCATAATATTTTTTTATACTTTATAATAATTTTTCACATCCGATCGATCAAAATTTAACTACTATTATAATTTGTATATTTTATTTAACTTCAAACATGTCTTCTTCATAAAAAAAAATGTCTTCTTCTTTAACTTTTCAAGACCAGGCTAGAGCAAGTCTTTCACATAAATTGAAATTAAATGTAACTATATTTACATAAGTTACATGATTTTTTTAAAATAATTGTTAAAAATCACATTAAACCATTTCTCTTTCTATATATATATATATATATATATATATATGAGTTGGCATCCTTTTACTCTAAGAGTAAGTCTACCTACACTTATTTTGTTCAATAATTCATGTTCTACATCAAATTTCAACGATCTAACCCTTCAATTTATTAAAATTCTTAATACATAGATCAAATTTGCAAATTTTTAGAAAATTTGAAAATTATTTAATACTTCATTTCATTAATTTGAGTCAAAATATAAAATATTTTTATGATTATCCGTCAATTTAAATTAATGAAATGAAGTATAAAATAATTTTTAAATTTTCTAAAAATTTACAAATTTGATCTATGCATTAAGAACTTTAAATTGAATGATTGGATTGTTAAAATTTGATGTAGAACATGAGTCATTGAATAAAGTCTAGAGTAAAAGAATCCATCCTATATATATATATATTCCAAAATTAAAAATTGTTTTAATACTAAACAAGTGTTCAGGGTTGGAATAACATTTGTGCAGGAGCAGGAGCATATCAAAGCACTCCATTCATAATACTGACTTTGGAACAAATTTGCTAATTTATCTTTTAGCTTTTTATGTAACTTTTAGACTTTAACTCTAATTTCCAATTCACGTAACGAGATTTGTCTCTTTCTATAAAAAATTAAAGTTTACCTAGTGTTTAAATTAGGTGCAGTAAATATTGACCTAATTATGTATAATAAAAGAAAAAATTGACCTAACCTAATTGGTTGGTTGACCTAAAGAATGAGTAGTTGTAGAGATGAGTTGAATTGTGGAGGTGGAGAGACGAGACAATGGTGTGTGTCTGAAAGCATGCGAATGTTATCTCGTGTCTCGAGCCCACACCTGAACAGACACAGTTATCACCTTAACTGGATCCTTCACCTTAAGCTTCCTTTTCTGTGTCAAGTTTCTCAGACATCATAATCACAGATTCACAGTTATGTTTCACAACTCATCTATTGTCATTCTGTGATCCTGCTTGCTTTGGCCTTTTTAAGTTTAGGAGATACATTTAATTCCACTTCAATCCACTAATCCAAAGTTTAAGCTATAAACAACGATTTTAAGATATTACTTCCATTTCTTTATAATAATTTTGATATTTTCTATTATATTTTTCTACATTTTTACTTTAAAATAAATGTATATTAATTGTTATGAGTAAATTAATTAAAAATTAGATAAGATGTGAGGATATAATTAATAATATAACAATTAATATTATCTTGAAATTTAGAAATGACAAGTATATAGAAATAAAATTTTACTAAAAATTTTACGAATAAAAAAGAATTGAAGGATATATATCAAGACTATAGTTTATGGTCTAACTCAATCATATAAAATTGGTTTGTTAGATCATGATTATTCTCACATATGCACTCTATTTTAGTTATATAAATAGTTTATATGAAGTCTTTAACAAATCTTTTTTATTATGATTAAGGAAGACCTGAAATTTACAAGACTAAATATTTGTGGATGATTTGATAGTGGCTCTATAATTAGTGACACAATAAATTTAATATTAAATATTGAGATTGACTCTAATACCATTAAAAATATAAGATATATATGAGGTTAACTCAATCTTATAAAATCATTGTTATAAAGATTCAAAATTAAAGAACTTGATTAGATTATTAAATATGGGGAATTAAGGTTTTTAAGATGGAAAATTTTATGATTAGGAATGAAATGTGATATTTTGATTGAAGATTTTGAGTAAAAGAGGGTTTAAATAGCTGAATGGATTAAATTCATGAAAATTTTGATATTATCAAAAGAAAATAATAGACTGAAGAACATGATTATATCAGTTAAAAAAATTAAAAGACTATGTTCGAGACACAAGTAATTGAATCAAAATCACTATAATAGAGGAATTAAAAAGTAAAATTATGATTAATATTTATTTTATTTATGGTTCTAGCTTAATCTGTTAATCAATTGGGTTGTTTTGATATTCAGCTATGTATGATGGATCTTGATATATACACTTTCCTTTTTTTTTTATAAGTATACCTCCTTTTAAAAACAAATAATTAAAATTTTAAAATATTTTTAATTTTTATTATTTTTATTTTTAAATTTTACACTCCTAACATTTAATTTAACACTTTTTTTGCATGCCTTTTTTCCTTATTTTTACATGCACCTCCTTAATTTTTCTTCACCCCCACCTATTTTAATAGGTAATTTTAATTTGTTTAGTTTTACATTATTCTTTTTTCCTTCCTCTTTCAGTTTTTTCATTGATTTTACTATCCGCATAGTCCTCTAGAATAGTGAAAATGTATTTTTCATAACACTAAACTTAATGTTAAGGTTTTTGGAGGGGTGAAAAGAAAGAAAGTATTAGAAAAAAAATGTGTGTCTGGTTTGATAGACACTGTCGAGGAAACTACACGTACCTATAATGTTGTCGTCTACCAGTTCTATGATTTTGGTGCATGTGAAAAAGTGAAAGAGGTGAGAAAATAAGAGAGTAATATAAAATTAAAAGAACTAAAACTTCACTGAAATAGATGAGAAACTAGAAGAAGATAAAATGAAACATGTAAAAATTGAAAAAGAGAAGAAAGGAGGTGTATGAAAAGAAAAAATAGTAAATTGAAAGTTAGAGATGTAAAATTAAAAATTAAATAATAAAAAAATTATGAATATTTTTAATTTAAAAAAAAATAAAAAAAGGTGTACTTAAAAAAAAAAGAAAAAAAAAGGTGTATATATCATTAGCCATGTATGAGTTGACTATTGGGCTGAATTTTCATTGGGCTCCAACATTTTACGGGCTCGTCGTTTTCTTTATTATTTTGGTTGATGATATATACACCTCCATTTTTTTATACATACACTCCCTTTTTTTAAAAAAATATTAAATTTCTAAATTATCCTTAATATTATTTAGAATAAAAAAATATATTCTGGAAAGTGTTTTTCAAAGGTTGATGATATATACACCTCATTTTTCCTATAAGTACACCTCTTTTTCAAAAAAATAATTAAAATTTTAAAATATTCTTAATTTTTTGCTTTTTTTTTTAATTTTACATTCATAACATTTAATTTAGTACTTTTTTTACAGATCTCTTTTTTCTTCTCTTTTTCTTTTTCAATTTTTACATGCACCTCGTTATCTTTCCTTCACCCCACCTATTTTGGTAGCATGTAAAAATTGAAAGAGAAAAAAAAAGTGTGTGAAAAAAAAGAAAAAAGTAAAAAATTGAAAGTTAAAGGTATAAAATTAAAAAATATATATATAATATTTTATAATTTTTTTAAAAAAATAAAGAAGGTATACTTATAAAAAAAAATAGGAAGTGTATATATCATGAGCCTTCCGAAAAGAACTTTCCGTTAGAATAATTACGGAAAGTACTTTCCAGAATACTAAAATTACTATTCCAGAAATAACTTTCTGTCAAAATAATTATGAAAAATATTTTCCGTAACACTAGAATTACTATTGCGAAAAATTCTTTCCAGAATATTAACAGTGTGTGTATTTGTTACCATAATTCCGGAAAGAACTTTACGCAATAGTAATTTTAGTGTTACGGAAAGTACTTTCCAGAATTATTCCGACGGAAAGTTATTTTCGGAATAGTAATTTTAGTATTCCGGAAAGAACTTTTCATAATTATGTACAAATACACCTCCGAAAAAAATTTTCCAGGATAATTTTTTTTATTTCAAATAATATTAAGGATAATTTAGGAATTTAATATTTAAAAAAAAAAAAAAGAGATGTATGTATAAAAAAAATGGAGGTATATATATCATCAGCCTATTATTTTTTATACACGGGTATTCTTGAGTTATGACTTATGAAAGCTTGTCGATCATAAATGTCGAATTTAATCAATTAAACTCATGATATTAATTAATATGTATATTACCTTCATATTTATTTTTGTGTAGGTTTATATAAAATAACTCTTTGAGTAAAGATTCATTTAGTTCCTAAAAAAAATTATTAGACAAAAAATCTCTTAAACCAAAGATCAATTTCAATACCTGTGTTAACCAACTTTGGTAAAAGTATTTGAAACAAAGAGTATTAACAAATGATTACTTGAAGAATGAACAGTTGTTTCCATTTATTCCATATAAAATCCAAACAATACAAGAGCCACAACCTCTGACTTGATTCATCTGTGAGGAGTGAGGCCTCATTGTTCTTGGCACAAGAATGCAGCACGAGCATTGTCATCACTGCAATAGAGGCAAGGATGCTGCTCAAACCCTCCACTCTGCAGCATCTTCCTAGCCATGATCACAAGCTCAGCATTACTCACCCTTCCGGGGTTCTCCTCCAACACCCTCTGAACCGCATTGCTGAACGCCCCATAAGCCCTTCCACCACCCTCGTTCATGTCTGCTGAGGTTTCATCTGCTTGGCAGCCACTCAGCAGAATCCCCTCGTCAGGCCTCATCACTTGTTCCAACAAGTCAAGGTCAACCAGTGGCAGCCGAAACCTCAAACTGGCTTCTGAGCCGAACAGCTCTACCAGGTGGCTTCCCATGTCTGTGGTGTTCACTTTTGACAGTGATGAGAGGTGGTGGAGTATGGAGTCGTAGGGGATCGTCTTTGGGGTGATGTCAGAGCCTCTCAAGGTGGTGTTTTGGTGAACCATTGAGGATGGTCCAATTTGTTCTTTCTCCTTGTCTATTAGGCCTCCACTGTGGCATGAGTCTGAGAATATTGTCAGACTTGCACCCTTTGGCAGCTTGTTCACTAGTTCCCTCAAGTCCAAATCTATTTAACATGACATTATAAGTAAAATCATCAGTTCTACATGATGTTGATAATGTTAAGAAGGTTATCCTACAAGCCAAAATTTAGATACAAGAACACGACATGTTATGTCAGAAAGGTGTCTAAATTGTATCAAAGAAGTCTCTAAACATATGCTGACAAGTGTTGTGTGTAAAACATGTTAACATGATGTTATATAAATGTGTCCATGTTTTATAACTTATATGAAAATAGTTTAACCTTATTTTTTTTTTTTTTTATCATAAAAATAACTTATATAATAAATAATTTATTCAATAAAGCTGTTTATTCAAAGTGGCACAGGTATGATGTTGGACTTATTAGTAGGCCTAAAAATGAATGTTTTGAATTGCATATATGAATAGTGTGATTTGAAGAATGTGACAGGAGAGGGAAATTATGCAAACCAGTGATGAGATTGAAGTCACAAGGCACAATTGCTTCCTCATGGCGAAAGGGGTGGGCACGTTTCTTGGAAGGGATCCTGGTTCCATGTCCACTATAGTGAAAAAAGAGGACATCCCCTGCTTCAGCTCCATCAACCATGTTAGTCAGTGCCTGCTTGATGTTAGCACCAGTGGGCAACGAAGAACAAGAGTCAGGTGCATCAGTGAGAAGCTCAATGTTGTTGGGATCAAACCCAAAACGCTTCACCAGTGTCTCCTTCATTGCCAACACATCGTTTATGCAACCATGCAATTCGTTGCTTGTGTTGGGGTAATTGCACCCCACCAAAACTGCCACCCTCTTGTTCTGTTTCTGCATTTTCATGTCACTTTCCAAAGATGTGAAAATCAGAGAGAATGATTTGTTTGTGTGATTAATTTAATTGCTCAGTCTTCTCCAATGGATCAGCTTTATAGTTCTTGGGGGAGCATTGGCTATCCCTTTGGATTTTCCACAAGCAATCTTGTGTTGGCTTACAAGCGAGGAAACTTCTGTTTTTGGATATAAAATCAGCATGTGATGCTGTGTTAATCACTTTGTTAAACCAACAATAGTTACAAAATTTAGTGAGATCATCTCTTCTAACTATATTTTTTCTGTTAACAATAGTCAAATTTCAAAAATTTTATTTAAAGAAATTGTGTACAGTAGTACTGGAATCAATGATTTGTTGATAAAATTATAGGAATATATTTTGCAGCATTAAAAATTGCTAGATTCAGTAATCACTAATCAAGCAAGTTCGATTTAAAGATGTTAAATGAATTTGTTTTTTAAAATACAAAAATGATTATTTATATTGCATTGGTTTCTTGTGAAGTTGAATTTTGAAGCAAAGAAGGATGACCTGATTTAACTTGGAGATTTGACCTTCTCCAGAATCTTGGAAGTTTGATCCAAGTCTAATATTCTAAGCAATATTACAATAGTCCCTTCACGTATGAAAATCAACTCAAACACTTGAAAATGATATTTCACCTTATCCAAAGAAACATATACAATCACCAATTAGGATGGATGGGTTCAGAATTTCAGATACCCTTCACCTCAGTATGGTTATGGGTTGTATCGTGTACGAAAATAATATTGTTCAGAAGAATAATTACTATTAAATGATCATTCCGAACTAGTTGGAAGCCAAGCTAAGTTTTGCAAATCTATTTTGTTTAAAACAAATGAATTAGTTTAGTTTTTTTTGTTTTGTTGTTCATTACACAGCACTTGCGTGCAAGTAAACCTTGTATAGTTTGCGCCACAAATAAAAATTGAAAAAAAAAAAAAAAAAAAAAA